GGTCATGGTTGTTATAATCATGGTCCTGGTTGTTATAATCATGGTCCTGGTTGTTATAGTCATGGTCGTGGTTGTTATAATCATGGTCCTGGTTGTTATAGTCATGGTCGTGGTTGTTATAATCATGGTCGTGGTTGTTATAATCATGGTCGTGGTTGTTATAATCATGGTCGTGGTTGTTATAGTCATGGTCGTGGTTATTAGGTACTGTAAGTACGTATCTAGTATACTATAGGAAGTAATAGAATAAAGGTAAGAAAAAATTATTATGAATCACCGATGATCATTCTGAGATAAATTATATTATGAAGAGAAGTGACCTTGATTCTGGTTAGATAACTCACCATCTGCTTAAGTCATCACCTGTGTTAAGTCATCATAGTCATCATCTACGTAAGTCAGTTTCAGGCCCATCTCACATGACTGACCGATCGATGTTCTTTCCGGGCGAGGGTGTTAGTTTTCAATGCGACTTATTATTTACGCTGGTGGATGTAAGACCAGCTACCCTCACTGACGCAGCTATGGTCAATTTGGTGTTATTCTTGTTTATAAATGCCTTCTAATCTGTCTCAAGTCTATCCGCCCTGTCTATTGCCATCCCAACTGTCTGTTCGTCTGCGTGGTGTTTGATTGTAAGCCCGCCTGTACTCTTTGTGTCATCAAATCTGTCTGTCTTATCCGTTGTTGGCGTGTGTCTGCCTGTTTGTCTAATGTGAACCAGTCAGTCAGCTGTCAACCTGTATGTCTGTCTGTCTGTCATGTGAGTTGCCATGTTGTCTATTTGTGCATGTATGAATCTGTCTATTTTTGTCAACCTCCTGTCTGTTTCACTGTCTATAGTCACCCTGTGTCTATTGTAGTCATCTTCTCCATGCATTTCTGTTATTATCTTTTTATCTCTTCTCCTTTTCCATGTACAGTCAGCCACAGGAATAAGTATACACTGTAGCTGTAAGGTCGTCTGGTAACGTTGAATCTGCGCATCCAGACACATGATGAAACTCAGCTCCCCCACCTGTTATCTCTAACTATTTTCTGTTTCCCCTTCTTTATTCTTCTATATACTCATCTTCCTTCCTTTACTAATCAAAACAACATTAAAAAAAAAGTAGGCTAAGAGAAAAGGTGGGGGGAGGAGGAGGGAGCCGTACGATAACTGCAATCGTCCGGCTGACAGTGTACAGCGACATCTTTTGCCAGCGTAAATAAAATGGTTAATTAACGCCTTCCTGAAGAAACCATAGACATGGGACCAGGTTTGTTCCACTCTACGATTTTTTTGCGATTTTTCCATCAAGTTTGATGAAAAACGATTGTGCTGTTTAGGCTGCCCAGAACAGATACACGGCTTGTCCTATAGTATATATTAGATATTAGAAACGGCCTGAGTTGCCAGCTGTCTCTAGCAGAGTTTGAAGAACCTTGAACGAGACAACATGGGCCCAGTATATGGTTACCTACATATCTATGATGCTGCAGTGATTAAAAAATTACTTAGCTACTTAACCGTAAAGTAAGAATATGTGGTGAACAAGGTACAGCGACGGGAGAACAACTTCATCATTCTATTAATTAAGTTTGGTACAGTACTATAGTACAGTTAACTATTTTGGCCAGTGCCACTGTTAAATGACTAGCATGAAGGATACAGGGTTAAATTTATTAAATAAAATGGGCTCAACACTTTAAACAAACAGTACTGTAGTTGATACTACAGGCATCATAGAGTAGCAGTATAATAAAAATATAATAATAGTAGCAGTACAATATAGGTACTGAAGATCTCACATACCACAAAATACAGTATCCATTCTTTCCATAAAAAACATTGGGAAGGTGACAGGTGTGAGTTTTGATAACCCATGCTGACCTTGCTTACCTCCCACACGACATTACAGTACAGTAGTTTTGAATCATTTGAATGAACTCCAGTTTTTATTTGGCAAAAAAATTTATATCAGGTGAATCATATGTTTTTGTCGTGTTAACACAAGTTTGGAAAGAAATAACTGAGTTTCTCACTTCAAAAGGTTCTGTTATTCAATTATAATTTTGAATTATTCTGTAAGTCTAAATCATGGTAGATATACCTCACATCATTAATTTGGAGGGAAATAAAATTTATTAAGTCATTATTGGATTTAATAGTACACTGCATAATAATTTTGGTATGCAGTATTTAATGACATAATTCTGCAAAAAAAAAAAAAAATAGTTTACAAGGCATGGATTGTTGGATCTGTTAATCTCTTCTTTTTTGACAACTCTCTCACACAGCCTGGAGATGAGAGATATCAGCTGTCATGTGCAGGAGATACAGCTGGGTGTCGTGTGCATGTGGATCAACACCTCGGGTATAAATGTTGGAGCAGACCTTCAGGAGCACCAGTGGTCGTCAACATCCACAGTTGACTCCTTGACGAACAACAGACGTCATGAAGTTGTTGGTGCCTCTCTCACTGTTGGCCCTCGCCCTCGCCGTCACAGGTGACACTCTTACCATTATCTTAGTCTATTGACTCAGCTCTATTGTTTCTGTGTCTCTGTAGACATATGGAGGTGTAATGTAATTGTGATGAGAGTAAGTTGAGTGTGTTTTTTATAAAGCCTTATGGTCAGACCAAGGTTCATGATACATTTTAGGTGTTACAGTTCAGTTATTAACAAATTAGCAAAGTAATCATAGCAAACTCTCCAATTCATTGCATGACTGATGTTCGTACATAATACTGTCCTGTACTGTAGATTACTAACAATGCTCCTGTTTCCTGAGGCAGCTGCTAACGATGGCCTGATGGTCTGTTATTATGGCTCTTGGGCCGTGTACAGACGGGGTAATGGCAAGTTTGATGTTGAGGCCATTGATCCTGCCATTTGTACCCACCTCATGTTTGGATTTGCTGGTCTTGGCAGTGACAATAAGATCAAGGTAAATATGTCCTTACTAAATTATCTTATCTTCCCTCTATGCTTGTACTGTACAGTGGGAGAATGAAGTATATTCCCAACTGAGGCCGAAGTATATTGAAACCTGGCAGGATTTAACTGGAAGCATTACTGAGACTACATGTGTGTGTCGAATGGTTCTATGAAGCATTTGTCAAAACCTGCAAAAATGCTCCATTCTCTCACTGTACATGAATCAAGTGCAGGGACTCAATATTTAGATGGCCATTAAGCTTTTGTTCTTATCTACTCATAAATCACTAATTCAGCTGTCATAAGTCGAAAATGCGAAAATAATAAATAAAAAATCTAAAATGGGTGTCTCTTTTTCTTCTCAGCACCACAAAACTCTCACTTTTATGCTTGCCAGCCATTTTAAAGGGAATTACAAACAAAAATTTTGTCAGTACACGGCGCGATCACTAACGCCGGGACTCAAAAATACGTAATTTGAAAAATATTTTATACGACTGTGGCGGTCGTATGTCCGGGTGGTCGTAAGTCGAGGAGTACCTGTATAAACAGTCTCTCCTCGACTTACGACATATTCGACTTATGGCAACCCGGACATACGACAGCCCTGTCTCCTCCTCCTGCTTCATCCAATTAATGGAGTCTCCATACTTAATTAAAAAATTATTGGGGCCCCGTGTGCATTCAGCTGACTACATTGAAGGTAAGTGCACAGTAACACTTTATTAATTTTTCATTATTGATTACTTTTACTGTGCTGTACAGTATTTCAATTTAGAATTTCTATGCACTATTATCGCCTTTTCGACTTACGACCAAATCAACTTATGACCTGGTCGTCGGGACGTAACCCCGTCGTAAGTCGAGAAGAGATTGTACCCTGTATATAATTGTTATATTTATTATTACTTTTACAAAACACTCTGGTTGCCACTGCTTATATATTCTTGGGCAGAGTGAAACTATGGGCAAGTTTCTTTATTCCATTGAGGACCTGGATGTTGGCAAGTTGTCCGGTCTTCTTGGATTATTCCTTAACACTGGGTCATACGGCTTGTTAACTTTTGGTGTAGAGTGGTTGTTTTGTTGTCAACAGCTTCTGCACCTTAAACAAATTCACGTCTTGGTGGCCCCAAGACCGGCCTGTCTCGAGCATGATGGGCATCCATTATTTTTATTATCTTTGAATATTGATTACATTATAGTTTCTTATGCAATATATTTTTGCATTCATTTTTGGGACTTCATTTCCGGCATCTTCATGGTGTAGATTATTATAATATTTTTCTTTTCTATCTTTAATTTCTTTTTACACTGATTTTTTACCCCCCAGGCCTCGTTGTGGGTCAGTGACCTGTGCCCAGGTGGGCTATTCCCCGTAAAAAAAAATAGGCTCTAGTACAGTACTGTATTCATAATGTTTGGTTTACAGGTACTGGACCCATGGAATGAGCTGTGTAAAGACTCTGGTAAGTGTGCCTACAACAGGTTCACCGCCCTTAAAGCGAGGAACACTAATCTAGTCACCATCTTGGCCGTCGGCGGCTGGAACGAGGGATCCCCCAAGTACTCTACTGTTAGTATCTCATTTTCTCCACTGTTCCAGAACACATTTAAACAACTCAGTTTATGTGTGTTAGTCATGTAATAATGAGCAAACCAGTAGAGTGTAATATCCAAATACATCACAAATCTGTAAATGTACTTTTGTCAAGCTGAAGTATTTAAAGTTTTCTCTGGTCTCAGATGTCTAGCAGTGCTTCCACGAGGAAGATCTTCGTCGACTCCTCTATAGAGCTGTTGAAGGAGCACAATTTCGATGGTCTGGACATGGACTGGGAGTACCCGACACAGCGTGGAGGCAAGCCAGAGGACAAGGTGAGTCACTGACTGTTGTGTCAACATTAACATTTGTACGGACATCTTGCTGAAGTTAACACTTATCTATTCTATACAATATGATTGAATAACATAAATATGAATAACATAAATATGAATAACATAAATATTAATTGAATAACTTAATACCAATATTTTACATCTTTGATAAGTTGTAGAGACCAAAGCCCCAAGTGATCATGGAAGTGCTTCATGACAGACCAGAATCATTGACACATGTGGTGTTGCTGCTCACAGGTGAACTTCATCAGCCTTCTGTCAGACCTCTCAACGGCGCTACACGCTAACAACATGATCCTGACGGCAGCTGTGTCAGCCGGTAAGCTCACCATCGACCCGGCCTATGATATCCCGGGTATGGCTAAGCATCTTGATATCGTCAACCTGATGGCATACGACCTGCATGGTGCCTGGGACCCCTACACCCACCACCAGTCTGGCCTCTACCAGTACCCCGACGACACGGGAGATAATGTCTACCTCAACCAGGTGAGTCACCGGCCTCTCTGATCTACCATGATGCACACAACCCAATTTTTGTCTTAGAAGTTAATACAGTAGTGTGCTAAGAAAAATACCGATTGTTATTTGAATATGTTGTTAAACTGGGAAATTGATGCATAGCTGCATATTAATAGGGTGTCTCACACAAAAATGCTCAGCATCAAATTACAACGACTGCAGAGGTGGATTCGGGGGTGTCCTAGGGTTCTGGACCCTTCCTCTTTTCACCAGAAAATTCCAATACTTTTTCTTTAATGCAGTATAGGTATTGTACTCAGGCATTTTTGTATAACAAAAAGTAATTAATGTTGACCTCAGAATATTTCCTACTATCTAGTGCACATGGCTTCAAAATGGCCTCAAAATACCCATGATATTGGTCAGAGGGGCTTACAGCCGGAAAATTCCGGCTTTGGGGATGATTTTCCCGGTACCCGGAAAATTCCGGGATGAGGGATTTTTTCCGGGTTCGAGGGATGATGTAATGGACAATTTCTGGAACTTCTGAGAACATTTTTCCATTACTCGGAAAATTCCGGGTATGAGGGATTTTTCCTGGCTTTGAGAGACTCGTCTCGTTACCCAGAAATCTCTCATTCCCGGAAGTCTTCTGCACCAATTGTTCCGGCTAACGGAGATATCACTGTATATATGGAGTCGTGGTAATTTTTTATATTTTGCTGTCAAATATTATTAATTTGCTGCTCCAGCGTTTATGTACAGTACATAATATTCTTTTTATCCCAATAGCTATTTTGGATTTTTTACCATTATCATCAGGATTCTTTGTTAGGTTAGGTTAGGTTAGGCCATTTAAAAACACCAAAATACACTTGTAAAATATCTTGTACCAATTGGGGAAACTGGGATAAAAAAAATTTACCCATAAAATTTTTGGAAATACCATTTCAATGCTCAAATGTGACTTAAAAATAAATAAAATAAAATATTAAACTATAAAATAAGAAGAAGAATGAGTGGGAAGTAAATTCTACATTTGAGAGATGGGAAGTACAGTATGGTGGTTGGATAACTGGACTCGGCAGAAACTTTCCGTCTCTACACTTGGAGGCTCCGTCACCCCATTAGAACAACATTATGCAATGTCATCATAATTCCCATATTATTTAGGTTTAGTTGTGGCTGGGTTTAATAAAACAATATTGTTAAATAATAAATTTTTCCAAAAATTCTATGAAGTATTGGAGGTCCCGAGGTTACGAACGGGTTCCGTTCCTGAGGACGTCCTTAAGTCAGACTTGTACGTAAGTTGGAACACATGCTATGTGCATACTGCACTTGCAGAATTTTTTTTTAAATCTCACCATATCATAGCCTAAGTCGTTATATACATTTAAAATCATTGAATTTAAGACAAAGGAAGAAATAGAATGACAAAATACAGTACAGTATTACCCCGCTTTACACGGTTTCACTTTCCGCGATTTATCATTTACTCTTTATCATTTACGCGGTACCTTGCCAGAACCAGACTTTCACTTTCTGCGGTGCATCTACTCATATACGCGCGGTGAAGTATAATTATTATTTTTTATTTAACTCATAAAATTCATACAAATTATCCTGCCAGAATATAATTTACATTGCTGGAATTCTTACAATATGATGATCATTTTGAATATAAACATCATGGATTTTGCATTAGACATACAAATTTTAGATCTAATATTTTATCGTTTGTGCAAAATATATGAAGTTTACATTCAAAATATTCCCTGACCTGCAAGGAATCCAGAAATGTCAATTATATTATCCTAACTTTAGTCTGAGGTATTATTTATTACTAAACGTTAAAATCTAGTGGTTTCTCAGAGAGGTAGGAGCTAGTGAGCTGGGAAGAAAAGGGGGGGGGGATTTGAGTCCATTATTTGAATAGACATTAACCTGGCGACTGTATTTCTGTTAAATATTAATTGTGTGAGCATACCATCATAAAATTTAGATGTTATTTTTACTACATCATAGGTATTGTGTCGGAAAAAGTGGAGTTTGGGGGTCGGGCCAGTCTCTATTGGAATTAATCCCATATGTTCTGTTGTTCACTTTCCGCGGTACCCTGTGGGTTCAATTGACCACGTAAATCGGGGTACTACTGTAAATGAAAGTAAAAAATAAGTCATCGGGTATATAAAATGCTGTAAATTTCAAGTTTAACCTCATTCATGTTGGTGGATGTTCGCAACTCGGGGACCCCATGTACTCAACCCCGGACGAGTTATTGAGTCGTATTAAATTATTGGTTCTTTGTTAACATAGCGCGAACAGCTGACCAACCACCTAGCCAGGGAAGGAGCTGTTTATGTAATATAGAACTACTTTTGTATTTATGTCTTACTGTATTTTTTAATGTACTGTATTATATACAGTACAATATTTAGTGTTTAATAAAGCAGTGTTGGAACAGTTTAGAGTACTATACTGTATTGACTTTTTAGGTTCCAGAACCAAACTACTGAACTGTACCTGTAATTATTTCCATTTAAATCCCATAAACTAATGTTTATGATTTGATAATTCACAATGTCTTCTGGTACCTAACCCATAAATTATTGAGACTCCACTGTATGAGAAAATGATTCAAAACAATGACAAAGTGTCATCACCTCAGTGTAATGATGTGTTTGCAGGACTTTGCTGTGAGGTACTGGATAGATGGTGGAATGCCAAGCACTAAGATTGTATTGGGTGTCCCTCTGTACGGTCGCTGCTGGAAGCTGGACTCTAACACAGAGGAGCATGGCTACTATGCCCCTGCTAGGAATCCAGGACCTGCAGGACCCTACACCAGAACTCCCGGATTTTTAGGATACAACGAGGTAATGAACAATACTAGTGAAAGTTTTTCAAACTTGCATGTAAGTGATGACGGGGAGTTAATGTATTTTATTTACCTACCCGTAGAAGACGCTGCATCGCGGAAGACGCACCCTGATTTTGGAAATGTAATTCTCGGAAAAAACTTTTTATACTTAATAACCGACACCAGTGAAACCATTGCTGGATATACAGCCCTTTTGGCACAAGTACGCACACCTCTTAGAACTGCTTATGAGTCGTCATTTTCATAAATTTTTTATAAAAAATCTAGCGGGCTGTAGTGTTTACATTCTTTCTCTTGATTTTGTCGGTATGACAATGACGAGAAATATTTTCCATTCGTGGTAAGCAAATATAAACATGTATATCACTGTCTAAAGAAAAGAATAAAATTTTGTTTCATGAAGCGAAAACACCAACAAGCAGTTCCTTTGAAGTCATCCACCCCTGTGTTTGCTGCAAACCTTCTTGCTTCCAAAATTATCATCTTCTTAGTCACCGCAAAACCCAAGTTTCTTTGGTCTAATATCCAAGTTTTCAAGTTTTCTTCTAAGTATGGACATTTTGCTGGTACTATATGAAGATTATGCTTCTGTTTATTTGCTTTTTTTTAATTCATCCTCCTGCTTCCTCCACTGGTGAATCATCTTCTCAGTAGGTGGTGGTCCGAATTTTCTCTCTGTTGCCCTGTTTCCATGTTCTTTGGCATATCGCACTACTTCAAGTTCAAATGCTATATTATGTTTGTCACCTTGATACACCTACCATAGATGAGGGAGATAATTTGCAGGAATGAAAATGGCTTCTGACACCAGTGAAGGCCTGGTAGTGATGGAACAAAGTTCTAGACACAAGTGTGAAGAAACAAAAATTCCTGCACTTTGAGACCAGCAGACAACCTTTTGCAATTCCTCAATAGATGGCGCCTCCGCACCACTGCCATTAGTAAACAAACCGCACAGCAGCAAGGGTTGTGTAGCTGCAGCCTTTTATTTTTTATTTTTACCTACTAAGTAAATAATCGTATTTTTCGCAGTATTTCAACAATATTAGTTAAATCATATGTTTTATAGTATAGAGAATACTTGTAATTGCTAAGTAATGAGGTAACAGTCTTTGTAAGGGGCTGATTTCAGTTGACCCTAAGAAAACCTCTGCTACAACCCATCAACTAGCGTCGTGGAAGACGCATGGTAATTTTCAAGTTATATTTTTGTAATAAAAAATGCGTCTTCTACGCCGCAAAATATGGTACATGAAAATTACACGACTCATCAGAATAACATGATCACTGTCTTAACAATCTAACTTATCTCTGGTGCAGATCTGTGAGTTCCAGAAGAAAGAGAATAACTGGGTGGTAGAGATAGCACCAGGTATGAAAGAGCCCTACACCTACAGCTACAGCCACAGTAGAATCTGGTGCTCTTACGATGACCATGACTCCTGCGTCGAGAAGGTAAGAGAAACTTGGCGACTGTGGCATTTCTAGTGACCAGTTAGCTCTCAAAGACCCACAAAAGGTTATTCTTTGTTTCATAATTTATAGATTCTGTATCATAGCATGGATTCAGGTGACTATCTTTCCATATTATTAACAATGATAAATATTTGTTTAGGCCAACTATGCAAAGAGCAAGAACCTGGCCGGTATGATGGTCTGGAGTATTGAGACGGACGACTTCCATGGTATATGTGGTCGCCCCTTCGACCTTATCAAGACTCTGAGGGAGACGTTTACTGGTGGTGACATTCCTACACCACCCACACTACCCACCACTACCATTGTAAGTCTAACCAGTCGGGGTAACCAATAGGAACCCCAATAGCTTTGCTGCCCATAAAACCAAATCCTATTTATTAAAAATCTTGATCAACACAGCACCCAACTTGGACCACTCCCACTTCCATGGATCTTGCTAGTTTTACACAAACATACGTAGATATTTTTGTTTCTTATGTTCAGCTTAATATGATCTTATACATTTCTTTACTAATGAACCTATCACCAGGACCCAAGTGCACCCCCTACCACTGCTCCTCTTCCCCCTCCTGATGACAATTGTTCAAGACCTGGCATCAATGCTGACCCTGAGAACTGCCACCACTACTACCTCTGCACTGTGGTGAGTGTTGATAATGCAGAAGTTAATTCAAAAGTGCCAGGTGTAGTTTAATTTAGATTTCAATTATAACAATAGGAGATAGAGAAGTACTTTAAATTTCTTGATGAAGGTTCACCTTATCATTAAATGTCTAAAAAAATCATTATTGAAGAAGAAACATTAGCTTGATCAGTGTTTAGCCCTTAAGCCCTGGGTTGGGGTGCTGCTGGCAGTATCCCCTCCCCCTTGCAGGGATAAATTGAGAAAAAAATTTACAAAAATAATAATAGAAAATAGGCAGACGTTCTAGAACGTCACCCGGGGCCTAAGGGTTGTCATTCACAAGTCACTATCTATCCACAACTTATATTTAGTCCTGTGGTCTTCACTTCTGGCTGTATGGAACTCACTCTATATCTAGGCATGTATGCTTTGTATGGACTCCTGTACTTTCATCTAAGGTGGATAGTTATGGATATCAAACCTGTATTGTGAGAGAATGTTTTGTGTGTGTGTGTGTGTGTGTCACCTAGAGCTATATCTGATGTATCAGATTTCTAGTATGCTGTAATTGAAAATAAATTTATCCAAACTTTTTTCTTATCTAGTTACAGATTATAATCTTTTCAGATTAAAATTGAATTACAGTATTAATACATATAACATGCTGTGCTAGCATACATGAATATATTATTATATGAAGTCTGTTCTGTGGCAGAGTGTTGACAACACATATAGTGCACAAGAGGAGCTGTGTGCTGCAGGCACACTTTTCAACCCCAATGCCAGCATCTGTGACTGGGAAGATGCTGTGTGTGCTATCGGCAGTGGCATCTGCAAAAATGACTGTCCTTGAACATCTCGCCTCCATCATCATACCATCCTCAACATGTCCTCTACATAGCTTTACTGTTACACCTTGAACTGTGCTTGTGTATGGGTACAACAATGAAGTCCATATATTTCCCTGCTCGGTGACTAACATTTTACCATAGACTGGATGCAGGGGAGTGCCCAATAAACTTACCTGAGTTCCTTCCAGGGGCAAATCAGAATCCAATAAACTCAGCAACGTCATACTTCTCTCAGGTAGTGTTTCATGAGCACTGGTTATCTCTGTTGAGATGATTTATTTATATGTATATTAGGGAGTAAGGTATTATTTTCAAGTACTGCATTGAATAAACTCATCTTTTGAATTTTTTCTTCACTTTTCAACCTTTTAAAGTAAGTTTCAGAAACAACAAACAAATACAACATTACTCTTATCATAACAATTTACAGTCCTTCAAACACTGTACTGTTATTCCATATCAAAACATGGAGTACAAACAAGATCCACTCACTGTACATGATATGTTCCTTAAAACCTGTATGGTATGTTAACTGCATAGTAATATTGCCTTTAGCAAAAATCCCTTTTAACTGGAACTGCCTGATAGCCGGAATTGAAATTGGCTCGGAATTTTCCAGAAAATTCCGGATTTGGGAGCGTTTTTCTAAAGTGCACATCTGGAAAATTACTAGAAATTTTCCCAGTACAGGGGTACCTGGAAAATTTCAGGGATGAGGGATTTTATTTCCTGGTGTGAGAGATGAAAATCAGGCACATTTTCCGGAAATTCTGAGACAAATTTTCCGGTACCTTGAAAAATTCTGGGGATGGGCGATTTTGTCCATGTTTGAGAGATGAAATAATAAAGCATTCTGGAAAATAACGAGAAATTTCCTGTACCTGGAAAAATTCCGGGAATGGGGAATGCTTTCCGAGTTTGCGACACGATGTAATGCGCAATTTCCGGACATTTCGAGAAAATTTTCCCGGTACCTGGAAAATTCCGGGGATAGTGGATTTTTTCTAGGTTTGAGAGAGTTGTCTCGTGACCTGGAAATTTCTCATTCCTGGAAGTGCCCTGCACCAATTGCTCCAGCAAACTATATAGTGTACATGTATACTATCAAACACAATGGGGGATCCTACACAAACCATTGGCCTCCTTCCCCCACCATGGCCACTATTAATTATGGTAACCATCAGGTTGCTTAGGTTACTCAAGTATAAGTATAAAAGGAATTTCTACTTTTACAAATGAAAAAGTATTCTGAGTGCCTCAAGCTATGGGAATTGGGTATCTTGGAATCTCAGAGAATTGACAGAATTAAAAAAAATATAAATATAAAAAACAACTGGGTGCAGCAGATGATCCACAATTGTGATGGTGCTGCCATCTGCACTCTTGGTGAACAGTTTTCAGTTAAGTGTTTCTGTGGCAGAATTGGCTTGTAGTTTTATAGACTTGTGTACAGCATAAAATATCTTTGAAGTGCCCAGGATTGATATTTGGAACCAAATCTGTATTTGAAATACAGGAATGAGCATTTGCTTGGGGTTTTGTTGACATAATGATGGCATGCTTAACTTTTTCAACTGTTCCTGGTTCATTCCCTGGATCAGGCGTGAGAAGGGTGTTACTAGTTCATAAGCTATGTTCATAAATGATAACAAGCATTCAGTTTAACTAAAAATTTCAGTATTGATTATTACTCAAACAACTAATCAGTTTGCCAGTTCAATGTAGCAAGTTAATATGGATGAAAATAAGGTGAAATAAGTTCTGTATAAATATTAAGTTCCTTCTTTAATCCAAGTGAACTTGGTCCATGAATGATGAGGATGTGCACCACAAGCCAAACAAATCCCTTTAATTACCCCAAAAATGTACAGTAAGTGTTCGCTTAACGTTGGGGTTACGTTCCTAAAATCGCGACGTTATATGAAACGACGTTAAGCGGATCAATTCTCCTCATAAGAAATACCCTGTAGATTTAATGTGGGAGTTATGTTCCTGAGCCTCTCTGCCCCATGAAATACATAACATATTCATTTTTGGTCTCTAAAGTTTAGCGACAGTACCGAAACAACATTAAGCAGGACAATGTTAAGCGCGGACTTACTGTATTGTCAAATCTGTATAATAGGGCAGATCTGGTTAACGTGATTCATTTTATTTCTCATCATAAATTGTTTACTTTTAAAGGATCATGATACAGTACTTTATCTATTTCATATTATTGTCATACATTTCATTCTTTCTCCATATGTTCTGAGAAGGTGAATTGTGTACTAACTTGCAAAGCTTTATGTAATGGCCACAACTGAAGGGCTATCAGGAAGCCCTAACACTACATACAGTATAGGTGGTCTACCTAACACACTTGTTACATTGGCCCCATGGTCTAAACACCCTCTTTCACTATTCTCTTTTGTATCCTTCTTGCATATCCATACCACCACAACAAAGCTCTCTTCACACCACATTCCACAAGATGCAATGTTGGCTTTCTCTGTCAATGTAAGTTCACCGTAAATTTCACTATTTCTTACTCATTCCATTTTGGTTACCTCATCTTACATGTATCTCTCTGATAACCCATCTCTGTAGCTTGAATTTGTGGATATTTTTTTCACTCTAAATCAATGTTATACTCTCTAAGTTAATATAGGAAGTATTATACCATCTCAGAGTCCTTTTCACTCCTTCAAGCTTACATTCTAATCCTTGATGATGTGTTCTACTTTTACTTTACTTTTATCCTCTTCGCCACTGATCGGCTCGTTAGCCGCTTGGGCGATTGGTCACATCTCTGACTACTTTTCCTTTTCATTTATCCTCTTCACCAAAAGATCGGCTTGCTAGCCGCCCGGGTGATCGGTCACATCTCTGTCACGCACTGTTGGCAAGTACTGGGCATGCACCGGCTCCTGACTGTACCTGAACCCGCTCCAGTGTTGTTCAAGTCTTGCCTTGAAAGAGCTCACACTCAGTGTCTTCACAACACTCTCTGGTAGATTGTTCCAAGAGTTTACAACCCTCACTCCGAAAAAGTTTGCCCTCACAGTTTTCTGGACTTGCGGCTTCTTCAACCTTGAGCTGTGACCCCTTGTGGGGCGAGCGTCTGCCAGCTCCAAGTAAGGACACTCAACTGAGTAGTGCCCCCTGAGATGCTTATACACCTCAACTATGTCACCCCTTGCCCGTCTGTGGTATAAGCTAGGCAAGTTCAGGCGCTCCAATCTCTCAGGGTAGCTGAGGTTCCGAAGTGCAGGCACCAGTCTGGTGGCCCTCCTTTGAACATTTTCAACCAGCTGACAGTCCCTAGCATATCTCGGGGACCAGATGGGGTGATAGTACTCCAGATGGGGAAGCACTTCACCCTTGAAGATCGTTTCGAGGGACGGACCGTCTAAATATCTGAACGACCTTCTTTTAAGACTCAATAATTTATTTGCCTGGTTTATCTTCTTCTCGCAATGGCCCGAGAACTTCAGCTCATTGTCAACATACACACCTAGGTCCTTCTCACATTGTCTCAACTAGAGCAGTTTCTTCATCCCTTTGGGAGATATGATACGTCTCCTTACCGTTGGTACGCCCCAGGTGCATCCCCTTGCACTTCGTGACATTGAATCTCAGCAGCCATTTCTTTGACCATTCCTGGACCCCACAGAGGTCCTTCTGCAGCTCTTCACAGTCCGCTTGGTTCTTAATTTCCTAAAATAACTTGGCGTCATCGGCAAACATTTGTATGGAGGAGTGTACAACGTCAGGCATGTCATTTATGAAACAAACAAACAAACAACAGCTGGCCCAATACACTGCCCTGTGGTACCCCACTTGTGACAGGTACGGATGATGATTTCGTGCCATTAATCACCACACACTGCTTGCGATCATGTAGAAAGTCTTCTCTCCACGCTAGGTCATTTCCCCGAATTCCATAACCCTTCAAGTTTGATTTTCAGCCTTTCATGGGGTACATTGTCTAGTTCTTCAGTCGCCCCCCCCCCTCCTTCCTTGTATTGTTCCCTTCCTAATTTCTCTCTCCAGCAAACCCTTATTACTCATCACTCCCAGATGCTTGATATCTTTAACCCCCTCAAGTATCTAATTTTCCATCCTATTTTTTATTCATTTGTTAAGCTTCTAATCTTTAAGG